CCCTCCCTCAGACCCAGGAATCCAAACCTCCAGCCCCTCCTCCCTCAGACCCAGGGGTCCAGACCCCCAACCCCTCCTCCCTCAGACCCAGGAATCCAAGCCTGCAGGCCCTCCTCCCTCAGCCTTAGAAGTCCAGACCCCCAGGCCCTCCTCCCTCAGACCCAGGAGTCCAGGGCCCCAGCCCCTCTCCCTCCGCCTCAAGGGTCCAAGACCACTTGACTCACGTGCTCCAGTCATAGCCCGTGGGCTCTGGGTTGCTGCGGACATCGCAGCTCAGGGTGGCATCAGTGCGGCCGAGGTACCAGTTGTCATCATAGCCAGAGATGGACACTTCCGGAGGGTCTGGGGAAATGGGGGGATTGGCTCAGCAAGGAGGAGAATCCCAGAGCGGGTGGGCAGGTTAGCAGATGGACAAGCAACGGGGCGTGTGGCAGGAGGTACAGCCGTTGAAACCGTCTGGGGCAAATCTGTCCAGGCTGTGTATGCTGATGTCAGTGTAGACACTGTTCAGGGAAACCACTGTGAATAATTTGTGGGAGTTTGTTGTTGTTGTTTTTTGAGACACCGTCTTGCACTGTCGCCCGGGTTGGAGTGCAGTGGCATGATCTCGGCTTACTGCAACCTCCGCCTCCGGGGTTCATGCGATTCTCCTGCCTCAGCCTCCAGAATAGATGGGATTATAGGCACACACCACCACACCTGGCTAATTTTATGTATTTTTAGTAGAGACGGGGTTCACTATGTTGTTCAGACTGGTCTCGAACTCCTGACCTCGTAATCCGCCTGCCTCGGCCTCCCAAAGTGCTGGGATTACAGGCATGAGCCACTGCGCCCGGCCTGTGTGTTTTTGACATGGATAGAGAATGTCCAAATAGGGTTTGGGCAACCAGTGCAGGTCCTGGGAGGAAACTGGCACAGACGAGGCTCAGGGGAGCTCATGTGGTTGCAAGTGATGCGTGTTGCCTGAGGGAGCTGGTGTAGACTTGGCTTAGGGAATCCATGTGAGCAGAGGCACTGCCTGGGGAGCTAGTGTACGCAACAGTGAGGTGGGGTATGTGGTCATTTTGGACAGTGGTGGAAGAGGTGGTTAAGCCGGTATTTGAGGGATTCTGTGTGACGAGGCCAGGGTGGCCTCTGTGGGTGATATAATGGGGCCTCTGTGTAGGCAGTTTCTGGAAGAGCTAGCAAAAAACCCAGTGGGAGGGGTCAAGATCAACAGGGCCCAGGGAGGCCGATGTAAATATCAGGGGTCCGTATAGAGACTCCGGGAAGCTCAGTATAGACAGTGCCTAGGGAAGTCAAGGCAGAATCGTGGGAAGGCCTGGAGACGATGTTAGGTTGGGCAGTGTAGACGTGCAGTTAGGTTGGGCAGTGTATACGTGTAGTTAGGTTGGGAAGTGTAGATGTGTAGTTAGGTTGGGCAGTGTAGATGTGTAGACCTGGCCCAGCGGGATTGATCTGAACAGGTGAGAGGCAGCGTCACCCGGGGTCCATGGGAACCAGAAAAGACACTGTCGGGGCAGGTTTTCCTGGTAAATCGACTTTCTAGGGAACCAAAGAAGCCCCCATTTCTAGGGTTTCCCAATTTCTTTGGTGTAAATATCCCCAAGGCTGATTTCAAGCTACTGAGAAGACTTTGCTAGAAGTGGAATTGGAAAGAAATGAATCCAACTGACTCTGGCAAACCCATCCCAGCTTACCACGGACCGCAAGTGGCATGGCAGGAACCCAGTAAAGCCCGTGTAGATAATGAAGGGGAAGTAAATAGATCTGCCCATGGGAGCCAGTGTAGTACAGAATTTGGCTTCAGAGAATGCACGAAGACAACATTAAGAGACAATGTAGACACTGCTCTAGAGAAGCCAGTGTAGACAGTATTGATGAGGGAGGGGTCACCCCCGATCCACTCACAGCGTACAGAGAGGGTCACAGGTAACAGGGCTGGCTCCTCCAAGCTCTCATGCTCCACTTTGCAGGTGACAGTGACGCCATCTGCTCGGCCCAAGGGCACCAAGATGAAGCGGCTGGTGATGGTGACAGTGCCAGCCAGGGTCCCTGGCACCTGGGTCTCTTTGGCTTCCCCATCCAGGGAGGAGAGCCAGGAGATCTGGGCAGGTGGGCGGCCCTCTTTGGAGATGCAGCGGGCCACTGGTGCAGGGTCCGGGCTCAGTGTGACCTCCTGGGCTTCAGCGTGGTTCTGGGGCGTGGCTGGGAATAGGAAAAGAGGGGTGCGTCACTCCTTGCCTGAGGTCATTCAACAAACACCTCAGCAGAGGAGCAGGGCAGTTAGGCCCGGACCTCTGGGATTCCAATCTCAGCTCTGCTGCTCATCAGCGCCTGGCTTGGGAAAAGTGATTTTGCAACTCTGTAGCAGCTTCTTATTTTGTAAAATAGTGATAATAAAAGTACTTGCTGTGTGACTTAAATACATTGATATGTAAATGTTAGGGTAGTGTGCAGCCTGCAGTACCCTATCCAAGTGTTGCCAATTTTATTTATTTTTTGGAGACAAGGACCCACTCAGTCACCTGATCTCCAGTGCAGTGTTGTGATCCTAGCTTGCTGCAGCCTCCACCTCTTAGGCTCAAGTGATCCTCCTGCCTTGGCCTTCGTCTCCAGAGTAGCTAGGACCACAGGCATGTACCAAGACACCCGGCTTTTTTTTTTTTTTTTTTTT